GCCTTCTGGTTAGCAGTCAAGTACCTTAGGCACTATGCTACCAGAGTTCCCTGGCAGTCCATGATACATTCAGTATTCTTTGCTAACACAACTCAAAAGCATCAACTCTTCTTCGGTTTTCCTTATTCACTGTTCAGCTTTCACATGCATATAAGGTGACTGAAAATACCACAGGCTGGATTAGGTGAACCTTAGCCTTCAAAGTGACATCTTTGCTTTTCAGCACCTTATGGAGATCTTTTGCAGATGTGCCCAGTGTAATATAATGTCTGATTTCCTGACTGCTGCCTCCATGGGTGTTGACTGTAGATCTAAGTAATATGAAATCTTTGAAAACGTCAATCTTTTTTCCATTTATCATGATGTTGCTTATTGGTCCTGTTGTGAGGATTTTTGTTTTCTTTATGTTGAGGTGTAATTCACATTGAAGTCTACAGTCTTTGATCTTCATCAGTAGGTGCTTTAAGTCTTCACTTTTAGCAAGCAAAGTTGTGTCGTCTGCATACTGCAAGTTGTTAATGAGTCTTCCTTCAATCCTGAAGCCACGTTCTTCTTCATATAGTCCAGCTTCTTGGATTATGTGCTCAGCATACAGGCTGAGTAAGTATAGTGAAAGGATACAACCCTGGCACACACTCTTCCTGATTTTAAACCATGCAGCATTCCTTGTTCTGTTCAAACAACAGTCTCCTGGTCAATGTACAGGTTCCTCATGAGCACAATTAAATGTTCTGGAACTCCCATTCTTTGCAATATTATCTATAATCTGTCATGATCCACACAGTGAATACCTTTGCATAGTCAGTAAAACAAAGGTAAACATCTTTCTGGTATTCTTTGCTTTCAGCCAAGACACATGGGACATCAGCAATGATATCCCTCGTTCCACATCCTCTTCTGAATCTAGCTTGCATTTCTGGAAGTTCCCTGTCAATATACTGCTGCAATCATTTTTATATTATCTTCAGCAAAATTCTACTTGTGTGTGGTATTAATGATATTGTTCGATAATTTCAACATATTGTTGGATCACCTTTCTTTGGAATGGACACAAATCCTTCTTGGATTAGGACTCAGCTCATAAAAAACTGATTTACTATCATAAAGTCTTCCTGGTGAAAGTCCTTCATGATTTATTTGCATAAAAATTAAACAACTACAAAACATTTCTCCAGTTTTCCTATGAAGTGCTACTTACAAATGTTCAGTGAAGACTTTAATGATTTGGGAAAATGTTCAGGATATAATAATCCAAGAAAAAAACATTAAAAAACTAGTTATACAGTATGATGCCAAATTTGTAAAAAGCAATGCCAAGATTTTAACATCACTGAATTGGTAATACAATTTATTTTTTTATTCTATCTTCCACACTTCAAACAGGTAACAAACTTAAGTCTGTTTCCACAGTTTAGATAAACAAGATAGGTAAAATTTCAACACTGCTCATTAAATATATATGTGGTCTGTAACATAATATCTCTGAACCATCAGTAAATGAAGGTTTTGTACACAGTTCATAAGTACTCAAAAGGATACTGACGACCAAGATAGGTGTATGTATATTTAGATGGAGTTTTTACAAAGAAAAAAAGATATGGTCTAGAAAATCTAGAAAGCTTGTGAAATTTTTCTGATTTTAAGTAGAATTTGGGAAAAAGAATGTTAATTACAAATTAGCTTTGCTTTTTAAGCAAGTGTGCAGACACAGAATTCTATGTTATAAAATAACCATTAGGTATGTTTCACATTGTTCTTCCCTTTACCAGGCCAAATCAAGCTGCTGACATAATACACATTGAAAGACTATCCTTACTTATTCCAACACTTCTAACTTTCAAGTTTTAATGAAACTGAAAAAACAGCAAACATGTATTATTAGCTTTGGTGATATATACTCTGTAAATTCTACTTATAGTTACTCATATACCCTTCTAGACATGATCTATTTCATTTCACACACACACAATTTTCCAGTGGATCCCATTATACATATTGTTTAGTAACCTTCATTTTTCTTTAAAAATGCATTGACAAGTGGCTGCAACAATTGGCTCAAACATAGGAATGACTGTGAGGATGTCATAGGACTGGGCAACATTTCATCCTGTCATGCGTAAGGATGTGATGAGTGGAACTGATTTGACAGCACCTGACAACAACATTATTTTTCTCTAAATCATGTTATTTTGAGATCTTTCCATGCCTTAATTCAGCTGTCTTACCCTCTTTAACTGCACTTAAAGTATTTCATTATATGAAAAGACTATAAATTATCTTCTTAGTTCCCTAGACTAGTTTTTTTTTTTTTTTTTTT